AGCCATATTACACCCACTTGTAGCCTGTAAACATTTTTGTCACCACATCTACAACAAGAAAGTGTTATTTCAGTCTGTTGCTCAGTGGGTTTCGTTTTGTTAAACCTACAGTAGTCTTTAAGTCTATACTTGTCTTCTGTTTTTGACTGGCATGATAATTTCAGTGCTGTACTTTAAGCAGTTTATGTTGCAAACTAAGCAGGGATTTCTTTAAGTCTTTTGTTATTTCAGAAGTCATAACTTTCTTTTGTTGTTAGAAAACTAATGACAGGAAGATTCCTTCTGCGAGAATGGGGAATTGTGTGCATCTTAGACATCTCAGACTAAGTAACATTAAGTAATTCTTCAATAAAGCAGTTCATGGATCAAAATGGCTTTACCAAAAGTAATCCAGAAATCCATTTACGAGGGATCACACCCTTGCTTTGTATTATTTTTGTTCACTGAGTTGGATGACGATGTTTAATGAGATGATTTTACACATGGCAAATGACAAAACCATGATTTTAGTTTGACTTCATGATGAAGAATATTATTGGACACTCAGATTGTCAAATTCAATCTATAAAATATATTTAAGAGTTTTTCCAGTACTTTATTTCGCCGTGACTGTTGACATCCTTAGTTTTAGACCACTCAACTACTTTGGTAAATGCATGTAGTAGCAATAAATAGGAATCTAACTCCACTTTACATTAGTAGGTTGGTAGTAAATCTAGATTGTAAAAATTTGATGGACAACGTTCATGAACGATTTCCTGTTACGTGTTTGTTATTGTGTCTATTTGTGGGGTTATAATGTTCTTATGGCCTGTCACATTCCTTTGTCTCAAAGATTTTGTTTCATAATTAATAATGTTATGATTACTGTAAAGTGATATGTGCTTATTGAGAGATAGGAATGTAAAGTAATATGATTTTATTTGCCCTTTGCCTCTACTTGTCATCTAAATGCTTTTGTGTGAGTTTAAAATTAGGGTTGACGCTTGACCTTAACATACAACAGGAAAATTTTTTGCAGAGGGGATTCATGCTAAGAAAGCCACCACATGCAAAGTTCATGTATAAAAAAGCTATGTATATTTTTCTGACAGGCTTTATCATCTGTAACATGCATGGCAGACGGTGTATTTTATCTTCAGAAGGTTTTTGTAATCCTGAGAAGCATCATGTTGAAAAGAATAAGATAGTCATGGCATTTACATGTAGCTTATTACAAATCAAGACAAGTTTAGTCTTCAGACAGTTACTCTAATTCTCTTTCTGCATCCAATATTGCTGTTTTCTTTGTATTTCTAATCAGTGTTTGTTAAAGGATGAAAATATACAAATATACAGAGTACATTTTACGTAAAGATGCCAATCTTTGGTTTCATTATGTATCTTGTGAATGAGGAATATGTTGATGTTCGGTTCAGACAAATTTCATTTGCAGCATGTATGTGTAACTTGACAGTATTTTGGGTTGGTGATCAGCTTACAACATACAATAGAGTTCTTTCACATACTAAATCTACAGAAATATGGTTTTATCTCCTTACTAAGTCATGTACAGCACTCTATTGCGACGTCCATGCTGTCCTATTCTTAGTTGGAATTACCCACAACTGTTATTGCCTGTGTAATGCATGGAGCTTTAATACATAATATGCATCAGAATTCTCTTCGTGTCCATCAAGCCAAGACTTCAAGATTGTGTTTTCTTGTTGTCATCACCTGCAAGAGTGACTGCATTATCACCGTTTTAGGAAAAAAACTGTATATTATCCTGCTGAGTTTCAAGGGCATGCACCACAGTTGAAGAACTGCTTTAGTGGTGGGTGGCTTAGGATAGTGAACTTGTCTTGTGTTAGGTTTAACTCAAACAGCAAGGTTTTGAGTTTGTCATAGTTGCTGAGTCCAAGGTGAAACAAAGGGGAAATTGTTTATTTACTGTAAAATAAACTACTGTTAATTTAGGTACAGTAAAATATGTAAAAGGTAATATTATGATAATATGGCGGGGGTGTAGCAAAGCATTTGCCCGACTCTGTAAATTTCATTTACTGAAAAAAAAACATCCCGCCCACATCACTGAGTGAATGTTCCAAAACTAACAGACCTTTAGCATTATTCCTTTCAAATCTCAATCACCAGCTGATTAGGGCATGTTTCACAACTGCCTCTGTTTCTCTTTTTATCTCTGTAACATGCCAATTACTGCACTGCATGTCAACTGATTCGCTAAGAAAGGCAAGACTGGCATTTCAGTTTGTGAATGAATTATAGCCTTTATTTTGATTTAAGATTTATAACATAATTAATGGAGGTTATTATGTACTTGCATGGGAATACTGAAATAAAGTTGCTGTTGTTGTGTGTGCATTTATCTAATCATTCCTGACCTCAGTGGGGTAGAGCATTGCTTTTGTAAATACGAATCTGTGGGCAAAAGTCAGTACTCTGAGTTTGGGAGTGAAAGTTTGCTTCCTGTGATATTCTTCTGTTTTATCTGATAAGTTAAATCTTATGTCTCCCTGCAAACACCTTCATTATGTACTAGATACCTCTCTGTCTCTGTTCTGTGGGTCTTCCTTTTGGTTTTGAAGACACATGGTATCTCACATTAGTGACCTTAAGATACACCTTTTCTCTCTATGGGTATTAGGTGTAGACGAACAGGTTTGCCACATAATTATACAAAATTTGACTATGTTTTCCCAGACATGATAATGGTAGTGTACCCGTTTTTCTAGAGTAAGAGGCAAGACGCGTATGGGTAATACCCATACCTGTACATGGAAACAGTGTATCTTGAGGTCTCTAATGTGAGATACCGTGTATCTTCAAAACCATATGAAGGACTTTTTTAATAATTATTACAGTAAATACAACGAAAGAAAAATTACCCAAGCGTAAACTTAAAGATAAACTTTCGGGTTCTTTCAAGATGCCTTGTGTCTGAGAAACAAGCCAGAATTTGACATCAAATCCCAAGTCAGCTAGGCCCCTTTTCATGAACTCCTGTGTTTGTTAAAGACTTGTAAATCATGTATAAGATTCAAGAATGATTCAATTTACGATGCAACATTCAATTTTGAAAGTTAAGCTTAAAACACAGGTACCTGGGTCTGTCCCTGTGGTGTCTGTACGAAGAAGGTATTACGACTTGTATGTAGTAAACCCCTTTTCTCCTAGACCTTGTTATGGTGATATTATTACATGTATTTTCTCACTCTATGTTATCATTCGAATGAAATCGCTTTCCCAGAGCTTTTGCATGGTAATGCTTATTTCTCAGGAATTAACAACTAGAACATGGAATGTTCTTTGTGATATTTTGTTCTATGGCAATTATTAAGGTGTACATTTATGTCCGGGGTAGTGAGTTAGAAATACAAAGACTGTTTAACAGAAGGCTTTTCTGTGCTGATCTAGTTTCTTTCCTATCAACAGTCCACAGCCTGCGGAGTCTAGCACTGCACCCAAAATGCCCAGTATTGCATCCATCCGGCATATACCCATGGTAAGCTTGATTAATGTTAAACAGAACACTTGGGCATCAAGGCTGTTGAGTTGCCTCACTCAAATAAAGCAGTATTTTCTGGCTTCCTCTGAGGTCTCTTGTGCAGCCTGCATAACTGTTATTATTCATAGCAACAAACGTTTTGTGGTAAAATCCTTTCTTTCAAAGTAAACTTTCCATGGCTTAAGGCTAATTTTTTAAAAAAGCATTTTTCATGTGGTGGAAATTAAAAATGTCAGAATACTCTTGAAAACACAATATTGTTGGGCAAGCATATTTTAATTATTGTTTGTAGTTGTCATGTCCTGATCTGACAACTCTCATAATAACTATCGTTCAGTCTTCAAATTCCCTTTTACACTTGCTCTTTTATTTATTAACTTGTGCAGCGTGGTAGATCTTGTTCTAGCATTACTAAAATGACAGAAGAGAGAGATTCATACGTCATCTTGCTAATGTAGAGTAATACAAAATATGAAATATCGGATTATGGACACTAGGCCAGTATGCAGTCCACTATTTAAGATGGAGTTTGTGGCGAAAATTTTATCTTGATGTATACGTCCTGTTTCCCATGAGCAATATTGCCTCACTTAAAAACCTTATTAATACTTGCTTGCTGGTTTGATTACGAAGCTGTTATTAAAACACCCCTTTTATTGCTCTGCTATTTAAGTGTAAAGAGACCAGCTGTAGAAAAAAATATTTTGCTTTGTGTCAGTCCTTTTGTGTAGCAAAATGGACAAAAGAGGATGTATTATTTGGCATGGTTATACTTAGTAGTAAAATCCTCATCTGGAGAGCATACAGCTTGTAAGAGCTATTTTTCAAAACTTAGTTGGAATTGAATTCTTCATGTAGGGATTTAATTCATTCATAGAAACAGTACAAATGAATGTGCCTGCAGTTTTTTAATTCCACCCAGTTGTTTTTGATCTTGCATGATAATGAAAATAATTTTTTTACTATAAAGCATCCTTGAAGATTGGAAACCCCCAGACTGATACAATGAAACCTTAGTGAGTGTTAAAAACAAGTTTGTTATGATGCTGTAGAACATGACTCTGACTTTTGAGTCTGTGCAGTGGATGAAATCCTAAAGTGTGACCATTCAAGTGAAAGCTACTGAGCAGTGTTTTCCTGTGATACTGTTTATTATGCTTTGCAAGTTGGTTCTAACTTTTGACTCTGCAGATGAAATCATCCTTATGTGTGAACATTTAAGTGAAAGCTACTGAGCAGTACTTTCCTGTGGTACTGTTTATTATACTGTTCATGGTGGTTCTAACTTTTGAGTTCTGTGGATGAAATCCTATTGTGTGACCATTTAAATAAAAGCTACTGAGCAGTACTTTCCTGTGGTACTCTTTATTATGCTTCGCAAGGTGGTTCTATCTTTTCAGTCTGTGGTTGAAATGAAATCTTATGGTGTGACCGTTCAGTTAAGAGCCACTGAGCGTATTTTTGTCTGGTACTTATTATTGTGGTTTACTTGATGGTCCTTACTTTTCGGTCAATATTGCTGTTATCTTTTCCACTTCATATCTTACATGTATTATTTTTCTCTCATCATTTTTTTTTATTCAAGGATCATAACTATGGGCAGCCGCCACCCATGACGCCCCCTGACTCCAACAGCCCTGGGCCCGAGGATGGTGATACTGGAAATGAAGATGAGGAGGATGATGGTGTTACGCGATGTATATGGTAGGCCTCAGGAACTGAATAATGATCTTCTCATACCCTTTTCAGATTGATATTGTTGTTGGTCCCACAAAAAATAAATTATTAAAATAAATTGTGGGTTATAAGAGAAAAGGTTTCTACCATTCATGAGATCAGTTCTTAAAAGTCATTTTATTAAGGGTTGTCAAAACGTTAGTGCTTGGATTTGATGTGTCAGAGTAGAGATCATGGTTTTACACAGTTCTACATTACGATGTTAATCTTCAGTTAAATTTCCCAGATGTAGCGATCTGAGTCACAATTGTTTTTTTCTTTGCAGTGACTTTGATCATGATGATGGCTACATGATTTGTTGTGACAAGTGCAGGTTGGTTTCTTCTGTTGTAGTTTTCCAATAGAGACACATGGCTGCAGTGTGTTTTCTAGCCATTATAGAGCTTAACCAACTTTTGCAAACAGCTGTTTAAAAACTAAACTTTGACATTTAAGATTAGAAGCTACTCTTACTATTGCTTCAACCAGCTTTTCTTGGCATTTGTGTTTTTATTAAGAACACAATAGTTATTGTTGTAGACCCCTTTATTACAGCTTGCCGTTTTACATTGTACTACTTGGGACAATCTTTATTGCTCTTGCGATTTTTAGGCTGTTTCTTTGGTCATTAGCTAAAAAAAAGACCCTTCTTGCATTGTAAACATTGTTTTTTACCCGTCACTTTGAAAGAGGATGTAACATAATGGTTGTCTTTTTGATGCTTTGTAGTGTGTGGCAACACATTGAATGCATGGGCATCAGTTCTGATGCGGTGCCAGAAAACTATCTTTGTGACCAGTGCCAGCCAAGGTAGGCTTTCTTGATGAAGGCATCTGTAACTTTCCCTAATGCAACCTATAAACTTAAGTGTGCTAGATAGATGAGTGGTTAATGGACCCTTTCACAGTTTTGTCAAAGCAAGCAAAGATATAAACCTCATTTACACGTGCTATAAAAATTGGCACGGCACGGCACGCCACGCCAAATTTTTGGCACCGTGCCTCGTTTACCCATTCCCCGGAGGTAGTCTCGTCACCCCTAAAATTTTGAGCACTGGTGCCACATTACATTTGGGACCGATACGTTTACACATTGGAAAATTGGGAGTGCCGTGCCTTTAAATCGTCAGCTCGGTGCCAAAAATTTGATATGCCGTGCCGATTTTTTTAGCGCGTGTAAATGGGGTTATAGCTCCCCAAATTTTTATGGGCGTTTGTGTGGTTGGTACCAGGTTTGTGCCGCCCATCATACAAACATCTTGTGCCTTTGGGAAACTATGTCTTTGTTCTATTTTTAGGCTCTCTTTTTGGCAGTGTAGTCAGATTTTCTCTACAAGTAGATAGTATACATAACTATTCATGGTAGGGCAAGGTAGCTATTACTGTTGTCTGTAATCATCAGAATGAAAACTAAATTTAACAGCTTGATAACAAGGGTAGTAAAAGTAAATGGTAAAGAAATGAACAATTATTTATTTTATTTATTTATTTTATTTTATTATTTTGCCACACACAATGAATTACAAGCAGAATAAAAACGATAATAGCGGAAGTAATTCTTCATAAAAGCAGTTTTATGTACGGATCTTCGCAGCAATGATGTATAACAACTGAATAACAGAGGCGAGAGAAAAAATTAAGTTACTGCTCTGAATCAGTGAAGAATTGACTCACTGTATTTTGTTTTCCATCATAGGACACTGGACAGAGAGCGAGCTCGAGCAATCCAGCAGCGTAAAAGAGAGGAACAAAGTGGTAAGTCCTTGACAGTTTGCTTCCTGTTTAAAAAAGAGTATGTGATTTTTCCAACCATGCGTATTCTTTGTCCAGACGATGACGACGATGATGAAGATAGTGAAGAAGACAGAGAAACTCCTTCTTACACTGCCATCTCCAATACACCGACAAGAATCACCCTGACAGCCAAAGTTAGCCAGAAACGAAAGCGAGGTCCCAACAAGATTAAGGTTAAAGACCAGAACATTCCTCCTGTACAGGTATGTTTGTTCTTTTCTGTCTTCCTTAACATATCAGGAGGCAGTTTGGCTGAGTGGTTAGGGCACTGGACTTGTGAGTCTGATGCCCTGAACGCTAGCTGGATTTTGTTCTCAGTAGTCCAGAGTTCAAATCCACAGTCGCGCTTGTAAAATAGCCAACTTGTTCGCCTCCTACAAGTTGGGATTTTTAACTGTGTCATGTTCCATTTTGCGATAAATATTAGCGATAAAAAATCACGACGTTTCGACCTCTCCGAGGTCATTTTCAAGTGTATAAAAGTTCTCTAAATTAGCATAGATAAGTTAAAAGCAAGTTATAATAGATAAAAATGTGGTGAACGCTAAAATGTGATAAAATATGTAAAAATGTAAAAAGTGCTAAAAAAATATTTATAAAGTCAAAAAACAATGGAAATAAAACAATGTTTCCATTTTGTTTCATTATTTGTTTCATTATCCTTGAAAAGCTCCATAAGGGGAGAGGATAATTAAAATATTATTATTATTACATGCATGCTCTCACTGTGAATTTTCATTAAGATTTCCAAGCATAGGATCAAAAAGTTTAATTGTAAACAGACTGATCTGTTGATAATACTTAACAGGGTGAAGGCACTGACAAAGAGAAGAAGCCCAAAAGAAGACGGGTAGGTGCCTTATGCCCTTTCCTGTCTAATAGAATAATGATAATGTTGTTAAAGAACTTCATGGTAAGGCTTTTCTGATCAAACTTTCCTTTTTTCCTCTTTCTTTTAAACAGAGACAGAAACAAAAACCTCCCCAAGGATTTGTCCCTGGTAAGTTACACTTTTCTTTTCGAGTTTCTATTATTACTGTAAAGTGGGTTGGCAACTGGTTTGGAAGCTGGCCCTTTGGTGCCAGGGAGTTACACCTGTTGGACTAGAAAATCGAAAGTTCCTATTTTTGGCAGCTAAAGTTTTCAGAGTGCATTTCAACTTGCAGTTGTGTCCTACTTCACTGTATCATGTACACATAGTCTCCACCTTGTTGGTGATACATTTTTTTATGGTACTAAAGAGGGGATTTTATTGCAAAATGGTTTGCAAGACCCACTGCCAACTTTCTGTTGAAGAAGACCTCTAGAAGATAGACTGTTCTGTAATAATGGACAACTAGAGTTAGTCCGTGTTATTCAGCTATAACTTGACTGTTTTTAAGGCAGATACACGTACATCTCTAAGGTGAGCGCCTCGTATCAGTCCTGAAATGTTTGTGTTTGAGAGAGCCTGCGAGCGAGCTCTCCACTTCAAGTGGGGAGCAAAGCAAGCCACATGAGAATAATGTGAACATGCAGCAAATTCTCAAGGGTGAAGGAAAAAGAGAGTTATGGAGAGCTGTCTCTCAGGCTAACTTAGTGAGAGCTGACTGCATGTTTGATCTTGTTCATCCAACAGTTGTAGTTTTGATTGAGATAGGGGATTAAGCTGTTGGCTCTTTGTAGATATTTCTGACTTAATAATCTTAAATAACTGGTTTCTTTCTGTACTCCAGTTGATGAGGACACAAACGAAGCATGGGAGAACAGTTGCAGTTCTTATGACCATTATGAAGAAGTAAAGGAAAATATTTACGGCAAGGAGCTTGAGGAGCTCCCACTCAACTCAGGGCAGGTAAGGCTGAATAACAGACTGTGCCAGGTTAACCCTTCAAGCCCCAGCATCCATGTCTTAATTCTTGAGACTGATCTCCATACATTAACTTAAGTGGTCCAGAGAATTTGATAAAAGATCAAAGCATGTTCCCTTTGTGAAATGTTTGAACACAGGGGTCATTTCATAAGTAGGTTGAGTATGACTGGCCGGCCTGAATTGGACTGTGTTGACAGTGACTGACATTGTTCTCTTGTAGTTAGTTTACTTACAGGTCAATAACCAGAGTTTAATACCATTGACTGACGTAATACAACTCACTTTGAGTCTGAAGATGACTACTGCACAGGTTGTCGAAATGTCAGTCACTGTCAACAACAGCAGTCCTCTTCAGGACCACGTTCACCTGGAGGATCCTACTCAACCTACTCATGTTCCGTTTGGTGATCATTTTGTTTATTCTTATCACCTTTCCTCTTAATGATCTTAATGATGCATTGTTATTGTTAAGAGAAAATTGAGATTGATCTCTCTTGGAACTTAACATTCACAAGGTCCTCTTAACTAAACAGAACACTTTTTTCATAGGAAAATGGATACCTGCCAGCAGTTGCTGGTGATGATCAGCTCTGTAAAGTAGCAGACGTGCAAAGATACAAGAAGGTAAGTAATATTCATGGCTTTACGCACACAGTGGAGATAAAGATGCTGTAAATTTTCAGGTTATGCTATTAAGGTGATTTATCTGGTACAGGAAGAGAGTGTCAAATATCACCTTGTAAAAAAGGTTCATTTAAGTTTGTTCTGTGTTGGATCTCCTCCGTGAAGGGGCTGAGTCACAGTTGTCCAGTTCTCTTTGTTAACCCTTTAGGTCCCAGTATCCACATACAAATTCTCCAAACTGGTCTCAAACATTTTTTTTAAGAATTAATTCAGAGAATTTGATAAAAGATCAAAACCTTTTTCCTTTGGTGATGATTTTATTAATTCTCACACCTTTTTCTCTTAATAAAGCACTGATATTGTAAGGCAAAAATTGATGTTGGTCACTATTTAGACTTAACGATGCCAGTTTCACATCCTTATTCACTATGGACATTGAGATATTACTTGCAAATGACAAAATCACAGCTCTATGTCAAACAAAAATGCCTCCCAAGTATTATATCAAACGTTACAAACAACAAAAATGAACTTGGAAAAGCTGCCAGGCTAGCAAGTTTTCAAAACGCACAATTGCAATCCACTTTAATTGTTTTAGAATTTGACCATCCATACCTACTTTTCTATTTGTCGTGTTATTTAAACCTTCTTTTTATGTTTTGAGCAGTTATTTTTATGTTCCACTCATTTTGGTGACGGTTCCAACCGTTTGAATTTTTATAAATTTCTTGGCACAGCTCCTTTAAATCTCTGCCTGATTATTGTTGTTTTTATTTAGGGCATTGTAGCTACAGACGACATGGATAAGAACAGGTTTATTATCCAGTGCAAGGTTAGTCTGACAGTGTTATTTAGGTTGTCCTTTTTTAGAGATCTTGAGTAGTCTCCCTTTAGGCTTGTTATGGTAAATGGTAAAATTTGCAAGGCGCTCAACCAAGTAGATTAGCTATAACTTCTGTTTACACTGCATTTTATCCCTCAGACGGCCTTACTTCCAAGACTATTAGTAATTTTATGTTGTTCTTTTATTTCAGGGAAAACTTATGCTTCTTTCCAAATTTGAAGCTGAAAACCCTTTCTTCAAACGGTATGATTGTATTTTGTTTCTTTGTATGTTTGTTTGTTTGTTTTTGCTTAAACGTGTTCTGAGTTGAAAAGATAAATTAGGCAATGGGTCAAAACAAGGCTGTGCTCTAGAAAAAAAATTGAAGGGAGCCCAGTGCTCAGAACTTGTGAAATCCAGGTTGCCCAGTAGCAAAGTTAGGTGCCTATGGGCTATGGGATGCCGCCAGGTGTAAAGGACAGCCTTGGGAAACCTTGCAGTGTGTGTTTCAGCCAGTTAGACTGCCTGTTAGCTCATTTGGTTGAGTATCAGACTTCAGAGCAGTAAACTCAGGTACAATTCCCTGCTAGACCAACACTCTAGTCTTTTTGTTGGTGAAGAAAAAAAAAAAGGTTAGGCATTGTCTTCCATCATTTCATTGAAATGACTCATTGAGATGTAAAAGTAACTGTCACTGGCGTTGACAATCCCAGCTGCTTCTTGTTTTTTGTGGCAAAGGTCAGGGAGGGGAGGGCACCTTGCATATAAGTTAATATGACTCTTGTTCCTGCCCATCCCCAGTGGATAGGTTTGCATCCAGTAAATTTGATAAATTTACATCATTGCACAGTTGCTAACAGCATTATTTTGTTAAATATTGAGACCAAATTATGGAAAAGAAAAATGGGACAGCGTGTAACAGGAACAGCAACATAATACTTGGATTCATTTACCTTTTTATAGATCAAGTTAAGTTTTATAAGGCTCCTTGACCATCCATAGCTTGCAATAATTGTTTTTTGTTGTTGTCCTTACAGATGTAGCCCATATGTATTCTATTACTCTAAACCGGACCATTTACAACTGTGTGTTGATGCTAGAACTCATGGCAATGATGCAAGATTTGTTAGAAGATCCTGTTCACCAAATTCGGAGGTTAGTAATCAGAACAAGGATGCACAGAAGATCGTTAATTATTTCCATTCTAACTGCACACAGATGGCTGGTAAAGTGAGTGGACTGTATTGTGCGAGAGTTTTAGCCCTACCCCGCCCTTGTGGGGATGATCTTGCATAAGCACAATATTATGAACATTACCCGCGTGGTAAGGTGAGAGAGTGAGAGACACTGTTTTTTTTGAGAGAGAGGGTTGAGAAATATGTTGCAAGAATTCAAAACAGGATTTAAATTAAAAGGAAGAGAAAACACAACGCATCATGATTTTATTGAGGGTAATTTATAAGTGTAGACCACAATATAACAAAGGGCCAAGGGACTGGCAAAACACATGTATGTTTGCTATAACAAGGTATTGTTATTGTGACGTACTTTTCCATGTATTTTACTATTACTGGGGCAAAAAATACCACTTGTTTCATCGAAGACGTAAGCAAATAGGGGCTCATTATATTGAGTTTCATTGTTTTAAGTCATCCAACAGTGACATAAAATACTTAAAGTAGACCTAAGTAGTCAAGGGCCCAAGAATTAAATATTGTAGTTTTATTATTATTATTTTTTTAGGTCAAGCACTTTCTCCTCAATGGAAGGGTCTGCTTGGGCATCTTTTCTTCAGCTCCCTTACCCAGAGGGGCTGAGATCACGATCCCCTTTGAGTTCCAGTTTGAAGAGTACCGTAGCAACCTGGACTGTGCATGTGCGCAGGACTCCTGTGCAGTGATGAAGCACAACCTCAGGTTCCAGAACCAGATCCAAGATGGCCACACCCAGAAGCGATTCAAACCTCATGACGAGGACAGCAACTCTGGCTCACATCAGAAAATGTCTCCGCTCGGAGTATCACTTGCCAATAGTCATGGAATGCAGGTGTGTGTTTGTCTAATTCTTGCCCGCAGATACTATACATGTAGTCCAAAGAGAACCTTAAAATCCCAAAACAGCGACAGCGGCAAAAACGTCGCTTAAGAGTTAAATTCGCCTTCTCTTAATCTTCATCGCGCCGATCCCAATTCACTTTGTCAAATTTTGGCAAACTCTTGTGGAGTTGAGTTATTAGGCTTAGAAAAAGGAAGAAAATTTTTTAGTCGCTTGTTTACATCCTCCATCAATGTGAAATTAGGCCTTTTCCTGTCGTGGTTATTGTTTTTCAGGCTTTTCAAGCAAAAGGCTGATTTATTTTTGCTTTTTCATATTGTCTATTAGGGTGACAGTGACTCTGATATAGAGAACAACCCTGAAAAGCAGGGCAAGAAAAGTAGAGAGGAAAGAAAACTGGAAGCGTACCTTAGACAGATCGAGAAAATGGAAAAGAAAGAGAAACGCAAGCAGCAATCCTCACAAAAAGAAGTTAAACCTGAACTTGTCAGCCCTGTCAGCCAGGAGGTGCCCTTTAACAAGCTCTGTAGTAAGAACATGAAGGGTATGAAACGATCGTTCAATAGAAAACGAACAGGTACACCAGGGATTAAGAGAAAGCGCGCAAGGTTGTCTAGTTGCTCTTCGGAGCCACTGTCTCCTGATGAACATAGCAGTACGGCTTCAACACCCACCACGCCCAAGGTGTCATCAGCAGCGTCACTACCGGAGGTTCCAGAGTCATTCAGTGCTTCTGTCACGCCATCCACGTCACCTAACGGCAGCTTCAGATTCCCCAAGGATGAAAAACAGGTAAAATCGTCCATTGAGTACTTTCATGGCAGATTTTTGTTTTAGTAATTTGGTCTTTTCACTGTCTCCCTTTTCGAAAAAAGTCCCACCCGGTATTCCAGGGCATATAGATTTTCTTGCTGGGCAATTAACTTATAAAGCTTACTTGCCCAATGAGCAAAGGTTTACGCAAGTCATCCTCTAACAAAATCATTAACTAAGACGAGCAAGAAGTGGTCCCAGGCAAGAAAAATGTGAGAACTGCTTGCCCACAGGACAAGCTGGAATTCACGTTTTTTTTCCTCTCGAGCCCTGCAGTGTAGCTATTTTGCGTAATGGCATGGTGCGATTACGTGTAATTATTTTGATTGGTGTATTTCAGAGTGCAGATGAGGAGATTAAGGAGATGTTGACCAAAGAAAATGTCACGACGGTGACGACAGAACCAGCAGATAACAGCGGACCATCCACACCCAGTTCTCCCGTTACACCAGTGGACGATAGCGAGCTTAACCTGAAGCCTGCCGAGAATGTTGCAACTAGCACAACCGTTCAGGACCCTGTTCCTGATGAAAAAATTGACGTGGCAACATCTGCAACTGAATCCTTATGCACAAGTACTACAGAGAGCACTCAGCTTAGTACAGAAGTGAATAGCAATTCAGTTTCGGAGTGTTTAGTGGAGATTAATGTTTCTGTAGGCAGCGGCAGAAACACACCCAGCCCCTGCCCTTCAACTGCAGGTAAATGCCTTGGGAACTTTCTTCACCACCTATTTTTTTTTTACGGCGCTTTTCAATAACTTGCGACCTCAAAAGAAAAAAAAATAACCAACGGTTATGTTTTTCACTTTCGTTAATCATAAGCGAAACAAACAAAAGAGAAAGGGAGCGAAATCTAGCAATCACTACCTACTTACCACGTTTACTCGAGTTAGGGCAGATTTTTGAACGGACAAAAACTTACACGGCTTCGCCTTTCGTTTACATGGGACCCGCGGATGGATCATTAAAACGTTTCTGGGAAACGGCCCACCTACCCCTCCCCTAGCCAGCATTAACACTTCTCGCTTAGGGCAAAATGCTGGTTTAGGGGAGGGGCTGGTGGGCAGTTTCCCAGAAACCAAATTAATTCGTGTAATCGGGGTCACAGACGTTACGTGCACCTGTACCTTTTGAAGCCGCCGAAGAAAACCAATGTTTCCTGAGATAGATGTGAAGCCTGTTCCAGATGGTCACATAGTGGAGAGTGGCGCAAAATGGAGAGGCACAATTTTCTATGAGGCTAATAGTCCACCCTTTATTATAACACCTAGACTTTCTGAAATAATCGACGTCAACACGTTGTTTGACACAGGTTCGCCAACAAGTGCAGAGAGTGTTATGAGTGGATACAGTGGCTGTGCTAGTGAGAGAATCAGTCCAGGACCTGCACCTGGTAGTCCTGTGGCATCGGTCAAGTTTGGACCTAGAGCAACGAGAACAAGTCCTTTCTATGGATCACTTAAGAAGGTAAACTAAAAGGGCCAAAGAAGCCAATAAGAATGCTGTTCTCAAAAAAACAGATAGTTTTGTGGTTGATGTGTTTAGTTTCAGGGTGGGGTTTATTTCTGTCAGCTGCCATAACCTTTTTGTCCAAAGGAAATTTTTTGAAAATCGAAGTTGAGAGAATGGGTGTGTATTAGTGTATGGTTTTCGTTTCAAAACTATTTGAATCTTTTCAGAATCGATTCATTAAGCTCCTGTTCCAGCCATTTAGAGAGCAGAGAGCAACAGGCTCCATTGAGTTTCTTTAATGACTTCCAAAACAAATAGAAATTTATAGTATTTGAAGAGACGAGTTATGCTGTTTTCGCTTTCTTGTTGTCAGCGGTGGTTATTTCAGTACCTTTGTAGTCAAAGCCTGACGAATGAAAAGCCTCCAAATGGCTTGAGTCTTATTGTAAGCAATCCCCTGAATGGGTCAGTCAATGGAAAAACAATTCCTTCCTCACTAAGAAGAAACACCGTGCCCAAGAGAGTAGGTGAGTGCTGTATGCATGCGATATTTTAAGCCTTGTTGATATGTATATGGAGAAACGTTTTCCCTGGAAAGACGGCTACCCTCAAAGAAGTTGACCCCTTCGCCCGAGCCCACAGCGTTCACACATGCCAAAGTGTTTACATGAAGAAATGCTGTCCCCGATACGAGCGAGTTCCAAGGATCTTATTCATGTGGTGTACACTTTGTAAATTGCTCTCAATAAAATCTCTGTGCCTTTTGTTTTCTCTCTCTTCTAGTGTAAATCCTGTTTTGAACTCTTGCTAACAATTTTACTCTCCGAAAAACCGTGTCTTTCACTCTCTCATCGTCCTACCACGAAGTCAAATTCTTTTATAGTTCGTGTTTGCGCAAAGTCCCTCCCACAAGGGAGGGGTAAGGCTAAAACTCTCGCACATTCAATCATAAAAGGAGATCAATAAGAGGTCTATTTGAATAGCTTGATTTATCTGTGCGAATGTTCTTTGTTATTCACAGATCCGTTGCCACTCAAAAAGAGACATTTAAGGAAGTTTCAGAGCACGACGTTTGAACCAGAAAAGCCTGTTAAGGAAACCATGCGAACATTATCAAATGATTCACTTTGCGACGAGCCTCTTATCGTGAGTTCGCCTGTTACACTGGAGCAGCAAGTGCAGATCGTATTAGCAGACAGCGTGAATGACTTACAACCGCATAAAGATAGCACACTATCAAATCATGAACAATTCTCCTCAAAGGAGGAGACCCTTCTTAGAGTTGGCACCTCGCATGTTCTTAGCGCTGGAGAGAATTTAATTACAAACTCTTCGTTTTCATCGCACAGCGCTGTAGACACGCTAGCAACAAGCAGCTCAGGAATTTTACAAAGGAGACCCAGTGACCCTAGACTTGTAAATAATTCCCCTGTTAGTAGTACTAGTACAAATCCTGCGGGCTCTCCTGGAGGTGGTATTCCTGTGGTGTCAAGTGCTGTTTCGCCTGGGGCGGTTCCTGTGATTGGACAGTCTGTGGTGCAGTGTTCGCAGAGCATTGACTCGTCTGGGACGCCAGGAAAGAAAAAGGTGTGAATATTGCAGTGATCCCGCGCGTGTTGACCTTCTTCCCCTCGTAATCTGAACACGCGTGTTTTGACCAATATTACTTTACTTCTTGCGGACGACGAGAGGAGCCCGCAATCCTAATCTCCAGGTTGTTATTACGCATGCGTCGCTTGTATGTAGCCAGCATTCGTTTTGATTGCCATTAAGAATAAATGGAATGCATGGAACCCAATTTGATCCCGCGCGTGTTGACCTTCTTCCCCTCGTAATCTGAACACGCGTGTTTTGACCAATATTACTTTACTTTTTGCGGACGACAAGAGGAGCCCGCAATCCTAATCTCCAGGTTGTTATTACGCATGCGTAGCTTGTATGTAGCTAGCATTCGTTTTGATTGCCATTAAGAATAAATGGAATGCACAGAACCCAATTTGATCCCGCGCGTGTTGACCTTCTTCCCCTCGTAATCTGAACACGCGTGTTTTGACCATCTATCTCGTGAAACTTACGCGAAGCACCGCGTTGGAGCAAAAGGAGCCTGTGAACAGGCCTTTGGTCGAGCGGGGAACTAGGGAGAGGGAAAAGCCTTTCCCTTCCCTTTCCTTGCTATTTTTTTCCGCAAACGGAGGGCATTTTCACAGGCTGGAGCAAAAGCGTTTGGACCTTTGATCATTGTCGTGCGCACTCCCTAACCTTTGGTTATTACTAGTATATTATTATTTGTGTTAATTGGCCCACTTTGCACTGATTGCATCAGCAGAATTCAAAGGCACTTTTACCTAGAAACGAAACATTTAGGGCCAGTTATCATGAAGACGCAGGAAGAACTAAATTTTCCACCATTCTGGTAATAGGCATATCCCTTTTATTTTATATTATTATCATTATTGCATTTTCTGTTGATGTCTACCTTCTTGTTATTGATACAAATTCTGGATTAATTTGGGTTTCTGGGAAACTTCACACCTACCCCTCCCCTAAGCCAACGTTAACACTTACTTCTCACCTGGGGCAAAATGTTGGCTTTGGGGAGGGGTAGGTACGCAGTTTCTTAGACATTTTGAGTGATCTTGTTATCCTTATTCTTAGGTGTCGTTGCTAGAGTATCGTAATCGTTCTCGAAACAGACTGTCTGTTGATTTACCCCGACCTGTACTACCAAACCCGGCCACTGTGGCAACACCTGCAAGCGCTCCATCTTCAACATACTCTTCTTCTGTGATAAAATCTTCGTCCCTCAGTGCGTCACTTCCGAATCTCAGTGTGTCGTCATCGTCCGCCAGCTCGCTTGTGCACAGATCAGCAGTCCACAGTGGAGAAATAAATGGGCCAAGATTGGAACCAGTCAGCCCTGATTTGGAGGACAAGTCGTCGTCTGGTAAGTGAATAGGCTGATTTAGCAACAGAACGGGAACGTCAGTTGACGACGGCGCGCGCAAATCAAACAACTGGGTTCACCAATATTACAGAGTGGCAAATTGGGCACCGGAAGTCGAGTTTAGTCCTTTCCGCGCGCTTTCCCGTCGTCAAATGACGTTCCCGTTCTGTTCCTAAATCAGCCTAATTAGCGAACGTAGGCTGCGTCGCTGGCACTTTTGATGAAAGAGAACTCTCAGCGAAGCCGCCAGAGGAATCCTTATCGCTTTCCCACAAAACCGCCCGTTACGTGCGATGCTGTGTAACGAAGGTGTTGGTTAGCATCTTCGTTTAGATCGTGAATCTGTTTTGTAAGATCTTAGGTATCTTTAAAGACAGGCTCTTAGCGTGGATCTCCACTGTTGAGTAATTTTTATGTCCGTAAGCGCGTCAAATTTACTAACCCCGCTTAATATGGACGCCTCATTATTACGGCAACCCTCCAAGTTAAAGTTTTTGCTTGGTCGCCATTTGGCAACCAACTCTTTTGGTTTAGGGAGACTTGTTTTCAAATCAAGTCCTCAGCTCTAAAATTTAGGCGCGATGGCGACCAAACTGGTTGCAACTTGGAGGGTTGTACGGACAGTTTACTTTGTCCCTGGGGAAAGAAATCCCGTACATTTTCTCTGTATTCAACCCGCTTAAAACGGACACGCTGTTAATACGGACATTTCCTAGGGTCTCTTCAGTGTCGGTATGAACGGGTTTGACTGTAACATAGAGGCAATGTATGAACGGTCGAACATGCACTGTTCCTGATATCTTTATCTCTAGCGCTCTTCTCAAAAAGAAAAACAAGCGCCCGGTCGCAGCGGTTGGGCTTAACTCAACCCCAGTAATGATAGGTGGAGAGTGGTTAAGGCGACCGGTGCGTTGATTTTGGACCCTATTTACATTCAACAGATTTATTAAGGCAATCATCGAAGCCTCCAAACAGTTCTTATGGAAGAGTGAGTTATCCAAAGATTGAGGGAAAAGGATTGATGTTTGATGGAGACGCACGTCTGAAAAGAGGTTAGTACGCAATGCCTCAGTCTGAACACCCCTTATGTCAATAGAAGAATGCACTAGCAAGGGTAATTTTATGCCAAACAACCTCCATTATCCAGACGTGATGGATGCCCAGTGCTCGAAAAAAGTCCTATCCTGTCGCAGGGTTTTCTTTAGGAGCCGGTCGCCGGCAATTTCACGTGAACTCACCACCTTATTTTCTTTGGAAAGCCAAGATTTAATGATGTCTGTGTTCTGTTCAAACACTCCTGTTTTTGCTCCAAGATGTTTGAAATGTATTGAAAGAGGCCCAGATTTCAAAATTTTTCCAGAAACTCGCGCCTTCGGTGTTCGCAAGTCGCGCCTTTGCCGCAAGGTTTTTCCATCGCCACTTACTCCAACACTTTTGCCACCTCCTTAAAATCTTGTTGAAAACCCTGGGGCAAGTCGATTTTACTTGTTGGGCAAGTAACTTTGTTAACTCACTTGTCCAATTATCCGGTGATTAACATCTTATGTCCTTTCAGAAATACAAAGAAAACGCGATTTAGTGACGAAGAAAGAGGAAGCTGAGAGAAATCTGACATCGTTTATCTCGGAGCAACTGCTCAAAGGTGCGTAAGTGTCGTTTCAATCCATTTTAGTGTCAAACTTATTGCCTTGAATTTAAGGAACAGTATTTACTAGTAGTTTGGGATTACGACGTCGCAATGTCGCATAATTCAGAGCTGCAAACAACACTTGGTCACCGGATAATGCCCCTGAAATTCGCGCGTTGCGCGATGAAATCCTGTCTGTGGTTTAACATGATAAACGGACTTATTAAATACCAGACTATCATTTTGAAGCTGAAGATTTTCGTGATAGAAAACTACACTATTCTTTTTCTGAGAATTTCGTTCGTTTGTTTAAAGGAACTACAGTGCAGCTACGACTTATTGACTTCATTTTGAATATATTACATGCAGAGGGTATGAGCTTTACACAATATTTTTCTGTTTTTCCTCAGATTCTAAATCGAGACCTCCTACAGTTATTGGCAGATCACCAGGCTCCAGTAGCAATGACTCTTCGAACCAATCTGCAGACCTAACGGGTATTTTTATTGTTAATTGACTTCTTATGATGTTATGTTATTATATGGCTCAATCCGCGAGCGGGCAAGTTGAACGAATCATGCGTCCTGATGGACCACCCGAGCGGCAAGCTGCGGGACCATCTTGCCCCTTCGGGATTTCCCGCGTTGGTCCCGTGTAATTCTTGGGAAGTGAAACTCACAATATCGCTATTAAACGCGTTTGCGGCAGCAAATATTTGTTTCCCGTTTCGCTCTACCCTTCTAATGGCAATGCGCTATAAGTATTATTTTTGATCATGTGTTTTTTCACAT